GACAACCATCGACTTGAGAACAATCTGATGAACTGAGGGACTGATCCATGTTTTGATTTGATAAAACGACCCTATAAGAGAGTGGAAGTCTTTTCAAAACTTCTCTTCCGTTGGAAGTGCCAAATGGCTGCTGATGCGTTGGAGGGCGTATAAAACATGGAAACACGTCGTGAGTAACACGGCTGCCGACGAGGAATAAGATTCACCTTTACCGCAGCAGTGAGCGTTGCCTAATATCAATGTGAAATAACATTTTTGAAGGTCAGACGTTATACATCTGGGTTATTCTACTGTTTAAGCTGTATTAGCGTCAGACGACGATGGCAAAACATCGAAAAACAATCGCAAACATCGCCAGCGTAATTAAGCATTTTGTTAAGTTGGCAAGGGGGTGTAACGGAACGTTTGTTGTCCACTGGTTACTCTCCCCTGGCGGCATATCCAAGCAGATGCTAAGAAGTAATGTAATTATTGTCATCAGCAACTCTGAACAATTTTTCTGAACTAACTACAAGACTGGAATTTTTGTTTTATGATGCAGTTCGATCTCTGGCCTCAATTTTTTTCAAATAAGATTAGGAGCAGAGCATGATATTCGCGGCAGTCTTTCGTTCTGCGGTATACTGTCATAAGGTGGTATCTAGCCTCGCTTATCCTAGGAAATATTCGAAACACTAATGACCTGTGCTCTGATGACGGACCGAGCTTGGTCTAAATCGTCAGATTGCTTTAATTAAAGAATATTTTATGTGTTGTCATTCTGTTAATGTGACTTACGAAGGCATGATATTAATTATTGTTAATATTAATATTAATTTATAATTACGATAATTAAACAAATTTTATTTGTTTTCAGGTATTTAAAGAGTAGCTTCTATGAAGAATTGATGGTAGGCGGCGCACAGCTCGCAAATGTAGAACCACTAGACGTATGCTAAAAGTTTAAAACTTTAGTAGATGCACGGTTGTGTGTGTTTTCTAGATCGACCTTCGGAAGTGTGGCTTTTCATTTTTGCCATTCGATTTTCG